TGAGCCCGTGGCAGCGGCCAGCGGCGGGGCTGGCCTGGGGACAAGGTGCCAGGGCGCGTGCAATATCCACGTATTCTTTCTCCTCCTCGCCGGGTCCCCGGGGAGCCGCCAGAGGAAGCTAATGGATTAGACACACACGTTCCACTTGATTTTTTTTATTTTTTTATTGCCATGTCTTTCCAAACGCCTTTAGCAGACGCGCGAGCACAATGGGGCCGGGCGGCGAGCATCCCGACGGGGCAGGCAGCGAGGCAGCAGCCTGCCTGGAAAGGTCAATACAGAGAGCGTTTGCTCTGGGACACGGGGACAGGCTGTCCTGAGTGGGTATCGTCCTTCCCCGCCTGGGAGGGCTTGCAGGGGCCATGCTCAGCACCGGCTCATCGCCGTGGAGGGGCAGAGTTAAGGTGACTCCGGCTCCTCCGCAGCCGGTGCTGACCGACAGCCTCGGGGCATCGCAGCACCTTGCCCACGGGGTTATTGGCACCCATCGGAAGCAGCTGGCGCTGAGCAGGTCTCTCGCTGTGCCTGGAGCCGTAACGTCCTTCCCGGGGGGCTCACGGGTGTGAAAGCGGCCAGTTTCGCTCCTGGGCCCGCGCTCCTGCCACGCCGCATTATGCAATCCTCACCCGATACCGGGAATATGAAATAATTATTCCAAGTGATCAGATTTTAATTATGCAACACAGAGGATGATTATTGTATGCCAAATTGGTGCTGAGTGCTTAGTTATGTATATGCCAAATTTAGTCTATACTATTATACCCAGTGGGTGGCCGTAGACAATCAGGAAGTAATTAGTTTTGCTGGAGGTTGTTCGCCTGCCTGGTTCGCTGTGCTGTCTGGGGAGTGTCTTGCTGCGCTCTGTGAATACCACGGGCTTTGAGTTCAATACCATCTTTTTGTGACAAGCTAATAAGCTGTCTGCATGTCGGCCTGTAATTAGCGCTGTCGATATTCATTTGGAAACGGGGACCGCGCTGAGCGGCTCTGCCGACTGCGCTTCCCTTTGTCGAGGCTCTCGGCTGGTCCCTCCTCGCCTCCGAGGAGCGGCGATGGGCACGGAGGGATGGGGATGTGGCCGGGTGCCGGATACGCTCGCGTGTGTGCGGCACCCTCGGGTCCCCACCGAGGAAAGCACCCAGCCATGAGGGGGCTGAGCCCCTGAGACCAAAACCTGCCCCGTGCCAGCCTGGCCCCGTCCCTCATGGGGGAGCTGCCGTCGGCCCTGGGTGTGGGGTGTCCTCCGGTGCCCTGTCCTGCGGTGCCGGCCGGGAAGGCTGAGCCGGTGTGGGGCGTGCAGTGTGGGGGAGATGGGGATGCGCAGGGGGCTTTGGTGGCTGTGGCCGTCCCTCCCCAGAGCCGTGGGCTGCTCTCCCTGGGGAGCCCCGAGCATCACCGGGGGGTGCTGAGGTGCTGCGTGGTCGCACCTTTCCAAGGTGGCCTGATCCTGCGAGGTCTGGGCTCGTCTGTTGGGGTCTCACATGCAGAATTGCTGGGGGCCCTGGGGCTATGTTCGCTGGGAGCTCACCGGGGCATGTCCCCCCCCCCGGGATGCCATTTGCAGCCGGTCAGTGTCGTGGGGCACTGAGAACCGTCCGCCTCTGCGGGAACGGCCCAGATCTGCCAGGCAGGAATTGTCTGAAGTACGGAGCAACTTTTACCTCTGTTACACAAAGGAAACTTTCCTCCTCTTTTTGTTGGAGATGCTCACTCCATTGAGATGATTGGCATACTGGAGAGCTGAGAAACTAAATTGTTTATACACTAATGAATAGAAGCTTGATTGCAAGATCCTGTTTGGAAAATTATAGTGCTGAATTGAAGCCGTACAATTACATCCAAAATGCTGCATATTCATTTCATCTGCTTTGCATAGAGATTAACAAGCGAGCCCTAAAGCAGACTCTGAAATTAAAGCTAACACCAGATTTAGTCACAGGTTACAAACTAAATGGCATTGTTTGATGGGTATGAATCTTTACCACCTGCCTGCCTGATGATTGCTAGCAGCTTACCAGACAGCAAAGGAAAAAGTTTCTTCCCATGAAGGAAGCATAATAAGACACTGGGCTGGAAGTGCCCCCTCCCTGCGCGGGCGGCCCCCCCCAGGCAGATGTCTGCGGTGGGCCTGGGGACAGGGCTCCCAGCTCCGTCACACTGGAGGCTGCACTCGGTCTGTGGAGGGATGGAGAGCGACCCCGAGACCCTCGCAGAGGTCCCGGGTGCTGGGTCTGTCCAACCCCCAGGGCTGGGCTGTGTCCCTCCAGCCAGGGCCACCCTCCAGGGGCTGTGTGGGGGGACGTTCTTGCAGGGTCCCCATCTGTCCTGGACCCTCTGTGCTGAATCATCCATGGGTTCCTTCCCTTCCTTGGAGGGGCCGGGGTGCTGTGGAGGGCAGGGGGCTCTTGCCCCTCTCCCCCATGGGCAGCCCCGGTGGGGCCCTGGCATGTGGCCGGTCCCGTCCCATCCCGCAGCATCAGGCTTTGCTGCCTGCCTGCAATCTACCTCTTCCATCTGCAGTGCTCCCACCCTGCATGCCGGGGCTGGGCTCGGCTTGGGGGCCAGGATTTATTTTGGGGGGAGAAATGGGGACAGGAAAGGGCAAAGGGTATGTGTGGGGAGCAGGGTCCTGCCCGGGGGCTGCACATCCAGGTGGGGGCTGTGGTGGGTGGCAGCATTTGGTGCCCTGCAGCATGGTGGGGGAGTTGCTTTGGACATGGG